ACTGTTGTATACAGGTGGGGGGAAAAAAAGGGGATAATCCATGGAAACTGCAAATTAAAGTGGGTTTTGCAGTGACCTCTAGTGGGAACTGAGCTGGGAGCTGCGGGAAGGGGCTGAGGAGCCTGGTCAGGGGGGATAGGGGAATATTTCCTACCCATCACAAAGGTCAGAGTCCATCACTTCCCTCTGAGCCTTTGGGTGAGCTATGACATCTCCCCGAGCTCCAGTGCTGACAGGTGTTGGATAATTCATTAAACAAGGAAGCTGCAGCATCCCTGCCCAAGGAGGGAGCAGCAAACAGCCTGACACACGATCCTGGTGTCCGTGGGCCTCAACTCCAGCCCTGTTGGCTCTCTGTGGAAGCAGCACGGGCTGCAGGAGGAGGAGGAGGAGGCTGCAGGAACAGCAGGAGGCAGGTGTGAAACACAACCCCCTCTGGATCCCTAGGGAGGTGGTAGGGACAAGCAGCAGCTCTGGCAGGTTGGGATGGGTTGGGGGTGGCTGGAGGATCCCTAGGGAGATGTTCTGCTGTCCTGGTGGGGTTTGGTGGCTTTGTGGGTGGCCACAATGCACCTGGGGCTGAGGGTTGGGTGGGACTTGGTCCAGGTGTGGGAGTTTGTCTGAGCTGGAGGGTGTGAGGCTGATTCAAAGCTATATAGGGTGGGATTGTGCCCTCCTGGGGCTCTCACCTTGTTACCTGCATGGGTTGGGCTTTCCCAGTGCTTCCCAAACAGCAGTGGCTTCAAAACTGATCCTCCTCTGCACTAATCTCTTCTGTTCTCTGCCATTCAACTAAAGAAACATCAACAATCCACTTTGGAACCTGTTGAAAAATGAAGTTTTGATTCTGTGGTGAAGATAAGTAATAATTTTGCAAAGTTTTCTTTCCTTTCTACTTTTTAAAAAGTCATTTTCTAGCTGTTCCTTGTCAGATCTTCTTTCAAACTGGTACCAACTTTGTCAAAGAAAGAAAGTTTGTTGTATCTGACCTTATTTTAGCCTTTTCTCAAGAGCTGCACAGCTCATGGATTTGTGCTGTGATCTGACATCATCCCTTGCACTTTCCATGCTGATAGACAAATCCCTGTGGGAAAAGCAAAACCTTTCATTGTAGTGAGGGAAAGGTTTTCTGCTAGAGGAAAGAGAGGCAAGAGAAAAATCTCCTGACTCTTGAGTGAGGGAGGAAAGGAAAATAATCCTTTCAAATGAGCTGAGTCTCATGGGTTCTGTGCACTGATGAGTCCTGGGGTGTCTCTTACCCATGGGGAGCACAAAACTTGGAGGAAACTTCCAGAAATGGGTGAGGACAGAGCAGGAAATGATGGTGTGATAACAAAATCATCAGCAACAGCAAAATGCTGTGAGAATCTGAGCAGAAAACAGCCCAGGAAAAGGAGCTCAGGATGTTTCTGATGGGGAACAGTGTCCCTTGGCAATTATCATCCACGTGAGAGAAGTGGGTTAAGGAAACCTGATCAGGGAGATGCCACCAAGGGCTTCAGGCTTATTCTTTCATGTTTGCAGGCTGGGAGAGAAGGGAAAAATATCTTGTGCAGCTTGTCCTGGAGCTTTCTCAACAGGAGATGTCCTATTATTTTATTCTTTCCTCTCTCCCCCTGCATGTTCCTCCACACACAGGTAGTGGGATCTGTCCAGCTCTGTTTGAGAAGCTCATTAATCCTTTGTATTGCCTTCCAAGCTGATGGAGCCTGAGCTAAGGACAAGCACAAGTGGATAAGATGTGTCATGTGCAGAGAAGGGGGAAAAAAGAATATTACTATTGAAAGGAAAAACTGGAGGTATCTTTGTGGCAGGAGAAAGAAGTGATCACAGTCATGTTATGCTGGGGCTCAGGAGAAATGGGGAATGCTCTGTCCTGCCATCCTGGGCTGGGAACAGTCAGCTGGAGGCAGTGGATGCAGAAGGCAAAAGTGTCATTCCTTCTGTGTGAGGTTAGTGCAGGAATGACTGATTTCTGTTTGAACTGTGGTAGGATTTTGGCAGCAGCTTCCAGGGGCTGTTTCTCCCTGCAGTATTGTGGTGCTGTCCCTGCTGAATGTAAACCTCAGGTCACTGTTTCAATGAGCTGAACAGATCAGTGTACAGCAAAAGCTGTGATAAAATGAGAATAGCATCAAAATATATAAGAGCTGATCTTAGCTTCCTTCAGTCATAAAGAATATTGTGTGGTTTGGGTCCTTTGCTCTTCATTTTATGCAACTGCTCCTAAGCCCACCAAGCCTTTGTGTCCTCCAGCACAGTGCAAGTCACCCCAAACCCTCCCTCCAGAGCCCCAGGGTGTGCCAAATCTGTCAGAAACCTTTTTTTCCCTATCTGTTTACAATCTGCAAAGCTTCTGCTTGAGAGAAAGGGAAAGGAAAGCAGGAGGGAAGGAGAAGATGCTGTAGCACTGCCCAGACAGGGCATCACTGCCCTGGTAGAGCTGTTGGAAGCTGACACAGAGTCACAGCATCCCTGGAGCAGCACAGTGTGAGCAGCCAGTGGCACAAGGGCAGTGGGAGAGCAACAAAGCTGCTGGGCACAGCCCTGAGCTGCTCGGGGTGCTCAGCTGGGGCAGCTCACACAGGTCCAATCCACTCTCTGCCAGAGCCTGGGAACACCACAAGGTAAGCTGCTCCAGCTTCGTTTCTGTCCTAAGGGAAGTATTGAATGCATCAGGGGAGGAATTTCTCTCTGACCTGTGTGATCCTGGTGTCTTTCAGCACAAGAAGAAACCCTGCAAACGCTTCTGTGGCACCCTGGTTGTTATAGAATCTGTGTGGTGTGGCCAAATACGTAAAGAAAAATGTTTCTCTCTTTGCCACAACGAAATTAACAGCTTGATTTGATGAAACAGTCGCACAGTTTGTTCTTACAGCCTGGGAATGGAGCTCGGTGCTGAGCACAGAGGATGCTCAGCATGAAGGCAACTTCCACCACGAGGAATCAGAGTGGAGGGTGCAAAGACTTTCTTGGCATCTCTCAGCCTTTTGAGAGGGGTGGGGAAGAGTTTGGCTGTGCCAATGGCTGTTTGCTCGGTGTGACCAGCAGTGTCCCTTCTCTCGCTGGTGTGTGGTGACATCTGCTGCCAGTCCCGAGCGCTGACCTGGAGCTGCTGCAGGAGGCACTGGGGACAGCAAAGTCTTGTGCAGAGCACTATTGTGAGTCAGACAGTTTTCCCTAAAAGTCAAGCCCCATGGAGCTTCTTCCAGAGTTTCTCTGCTTCTATAGCTCTCTCTGTGTAAAGGAGTTGTAGGTGGTGTAGAACTAACGATTTGTCTGGTGTTGTCCAGTGTTTACTCCCAACTTTGTGCTTGCCAGGGCTCTGTCTAGGCTGAGTTGTTGAGTGTCCAGATCAGGATTACAGTTCATTTCTCAAACTGCTGTTGTGTCAGTGAGGGATGCCTGGAAACCTGGTCCTCCTCCCTGACCACAGCAGTGAGTGTTGGATGTCCTGACTCTGAGGAAGGCAGAGTGCAAACCCTCATGGTGTGGAATTGACAGCTTTGGATAAGAATAATCAGAGAATTTTAGGGGTTGGGATGGAGTTTAGAGATCATCCAGCCCCAACCCCCTGCCCTGGGCAGGGACACCTCCCACCAGAGCAGGTTGCTCAAGGCTCATCCAACCTGGCTGTGAACACTGCCAGGGTTGGGGCAGCCACAGCCTCCCTGGGCACCCTGTGCCAGTGTCTCACCACCCTCACAGGAAAAACCTCTGCCTAATATCTAATCTAACTGTTCCTCTTACAATTTGTACCCACTGCCCCTTGTCCTGTCCCTGCAGCTCCTAACACAGATCCCTCTGCAGCTTCCCTGGCGCCCCTTCAGCTCCAGGAAGGTGCTCTGAGGTCTCCACACAACCTTCTCTTCTCCAGCAATGACCTCTTGGCGTTAGCTGTGCAAGGCTGATTTGGCCCTGGGGGTTGACTCACCTGGCCCTTATCTGCTCCCTCCTAATTCTGTGTCCTACCACCTTTGTGCTGCAGAAAGAGGAAGTGGAAGACAGCACTGGCAAGGCCGTGGTAGACAACGCTGGCAAGGACGGGGAAGACAACTACTGGCAAGGACGTGGTAGTCAACGCTGGCAAGGACGGGGAAGACAACGCTGGCAAGAACGTGGGAGACAACTCTGGCAAGAACGTGGATAACAACACTGGCAAGAACGTGGGAGAGGACAGCACTGGCAAGAACGTGGGAGACAACAACACTGGCAAGAACATAGAAGACAACACTGGCAAGAACGTAGAAGACAACACTGGCAAGAACGTAGAAGACAACACTGGCAAGAACGTAGAAGACAACACTGGCAAGAACGTAGAAGACAACACTGGCAAGAACGTAGAAGACAACACTGGCAAGAACGTAGAAGACAACACTGGCAAGAACGTGGGAGACAACAACACTGGCAAGAACATAGAAGACAACACTGGCAAGAACGTGGGAGACAACAACACTGGCAAGAACATAGAAGACAACACTGGCAAGAACGTGGGAGACAACAACACTGGCAAGAACATAGAAGACAACACTGGCAAGAACGTGGGAGACAACAACACTGGCAAGAACATAGAAGACAACACTGGCAAGAACGTGGGAGACAACAACACTGGCAAGAACATAGAAGACAACACTGGCAAGAACGTGGGAGACAACAACACTGGCAAGAACATAGAAGACAACACTGGCAAGAACGTGGGAGACAACAACACTGGCAAGAACGTGGGAGACAACAACGCTGGCAAGAACGTAGAGGACAACAACGCTGGCAAGAACGTAGAGGACAACAACGCTGGCAAGAACGTAGAGGACAACAACGCTGGCAAGAACGTAGACAGCGCTGGCAAGAAAGTAGAAGACAGCACTGGCAAGGACAAGGTAGACAGCAGCACTGGCAAGGACAGAGTAGACAGCAGCACTGGCAAGGACGGGGTAGACAACACTGGCAAGGACGTGGACGACAACCCTGACGAGAACGAGGAAGACAACCCTGACGAGAACATGGAAGGGGCTCTGATAGCCCGGGACAGGGTTGGGGTGCAGGACTTTGTGCTGCTGGACTCCCACACCAGTGAGGTTGCTTTCCTCAACAACCTGCGCAAGAGATACCAGGAGAACCTCATCTATGTAAGTGCTGGTTGTGTGGTCTCACGTGGCCTGTGAAGTGTCTCTAAGGTGGCCTTGTTGGTCAGGTCTGGGAAGAAGAGCTGTGTCTAGTCAACCTTGCTGGATGTTAGTAGTACCAGCAAAGTGATTTGTCTACTCTAGCTGATGAAAATAAGTCTCAACTTGCTCTGAGCTGCCTTGCAAAGCTCCTAAGGATGTGCAGTAACTAGGAAGGGAATGGCAGATCAAACACTGTCGTTGTAGGTAAGCACCACGTGGTATCTGATTTGTCTGGGAAAGGCCAAGGATTTTTATTTGATGTTGTGTTA